ATCGGGTATGTTCAATGTTCATGACAGGGCGCAATGTACGCTTGACATCTCATATTTGGCCGGCGTATAAAGATTCTTGTGAATGAGTTCTAAACGATCCGGTTGGTCGTATTTCCTATGCGGCGTAATGGCCGTTTCACGCATAATATGAACGAGCCAATCATTCACGGATGACCTACTTCCACATCCAATAATAATAAGGATGTTATGGCACTGTTGATGAAATGCTCATTTTCTTAACCGGTTATGTAAAATTTAATGTGAAGGGTAATGTATTCGCTCGAAGGGTTTCGCTAAATTATTGTTTGCGATCCGAACATAATAATAATATTATGCTTTTAAACTTCCTGATTTTGAGATTGTTTTTTTTTTAAGATATTTCAGGTTTCGGAATTAAAAACAAGGGGATTAAATTATACTGCTGCCTCTTTGGCCGAGTGGTCGCAAGTGTGACTGCCGGGCAAGAGGTCTCGGGTTCGATTTGCGGGTCGCGCAAAGTACTACTGGGTTTATAAACAAAAATCTCAGTAGTAGCACGGAATCTGGAATTGTGCCCGGTATATGGCAATAGGCTCACCCCCAATTACATGAGACTCATAACATAAATAGTGAAAGGTGGGTGTTACATTGTACAGTGGCATTAAGTGCTGTAATGTGCACCTCTGCCTAGCCCTTCGGGGATAAAAGGCGTGAGATGTTATGATATGTATTGTGTTAAATTATAGTTGCAAATTAATTTAATATCGTTTTTAAAATTAATTAAGGAAGTCTACATATTGTTTTTATTCTTCTCCTCTTATAATATCTTCTGATAGGTACACTTCGTTGCGGGAACCAAGACAGTTATTCATGTCCCTGGGACGAGCCAGACTTCAGTGTTCCGGTGTTTTCATGGTTGTATCTACTGTAGATTCTGGCTTACAGGAGTTGCAGCGGTTTTGGGAGGTTGTGGCGGGCTTGTCCCAAAAAAAGGCTATAATATAATACTTTCAACCCTAAAAACAATGTGTAACATATATCTTCAAGCATTCAGACATTGATCTATCAGAAACGCTTCATTGAGAACGACATTCCACGCAAATACAAAAAAAAAAAAATAAACCCTGTATTCAGAATAACGATTACTAAGCACATACACAACGTTTTTGATCCACATTTTATTTCCTACGCATAAAACAGCCAAACATAATATTGGACTCAATTTCTAGACAGAACATTTCAAAGAGTACTAGACGGACATATAAATATATGTATACTATGTATGTATGCATACAATATCTTGAATACGAACTTGCTCTCTATTCTCTCATTATTTATTTGGCATTACAACCGACGTCCTCCTTTGAAGGATGTTACGCACTTATTCGTAGTGGACTTGGATATATTATTGTATATTAGGTACACCATAAAAGTATTAGATGTATGTATTTATTCTTAGAGAGGTACTTGTCCAACAATGTTATTTGTTGTAACTAATATTATTTATGTCACTGAGAAGTTGATTCTTAGGAAACAAAAGTATTCACCGAAATTGTCGATAGTGAATCGATCTCCATAATTATAACACTTGCTTGTTTGTAATTCATAAGTATGAAAATACATATTATTATATTTTAACAAGAAGAGTTTGACATTAAAATTCGCCTTTTAACATTAGTCTTAACTAACTAAAATCTTGGGTTACTCACGTGAATATACTGAGAAAAGCTCTACTATTTCATCGTTCGACGCGCCGCCGGAGTTGGAAGCAAACGCTCGTAGTATCCGATAGAGGGCGCGTTGGGCTCGCAGCGCAAGTAGCAACACCGAGGCGAGCACCAACGCCAGCCAGTGAGCTGCGCGACGTCGCCGCGACCGCGCACGCTACTTATGAGGAAGAATCCCTCTGTAGTTCGAAACTAGTAGAGCTTTTCTCAGTACATTCACGTGAGTAACCCGCGATTTTAGTTAATTTAGTATTTTTTTTAATAAAAACGTTGCCCCCACTAGAATTATCTCCTGTGTCGTGGGTGCGTTTACAAACATACAAGTTCACATACACATGACACCCAGAGCCGAAACAACAATTTCTGGATCACACAAAGTGTTGATCCGTGCGGGAATCGAACCCGCAACACGTTGTACGGCAGCCGATTGCCCAGCCACCGCACCAACCGTGCAGTCTATTAACTAAAACTAAGTATGTCACGATAGTTTTATAAAAACATTAGTCTTAACTGTTACAAAAATTGTATATAATCGCACTACAATAATACTCCCTAGAATACCCACAATAACTAACAAATTAATATCAAATGAATCAAAACATTTCTCTTTTTTTATTTAGTTATTAGGTTAACCAACAGTTATTTACACTCATTCATTATATACTTTAGACTACTTAGGTACTAACTAACACAGCGTACACATCAAATGGTTAGAAAATGTTAAATTAAACAAATTATAACATTTGCATTAGTAGTAAAACAACTTACCTACACGAAGAGTAAGACAAATTCTAGCTTGTATAGGAAGTGAAATCCTTACGAAAAGTTACTACTTATTCAAATATCAACTTTAAATTAATCAACACTAAATTACAAAATATAAGATACATAAAACACATACAAACTACTCTCAAGAGTCCAGTTTGCATGAATAAACATACGGTTAAACCCACTTGAACTCGTAGGAAAGTCAACTTTACTACAGAATTTAGTTGAAAACTTCACTTAGGTGCTCCACCTATTTAACGAACACAGGTCATTAGCAATACTATTATTAAATTCAAATTAAAATGGTACAAGTTCTAAATATGTGATAGGCAATTAAAATACTTTGTTTACATTTTAATATACTACAGAAATACACAATACATTGATATTGTAGAGGTAGTTCACTATTAGCTGTGCCTGCGACTTCGTTCGTGTAGAATAGAGATTCACAGTTCCTTCGTAGTTGATACCGTGAATGTAGTCAATATGTTAACCTGACCTGTTAGTAATATCCTTATCCTTACTATTATAAATGGGAAAGTGAGTTTGTTTGTTTGTTTGTTTGTTTGTTCCGCTTTCACGCCGTAACTTCTAAACCGATTGCTTTGAATTTTTGCAGACGTAAAATTAGAAGTCCGGATTAAATAATAGGGTGCTATTTATCCCGGAAAAAATTGGTATTTTTGGAAAACAAAAGAATTGGTATAGATGGCGCTGTGTGTATTGGTATATGTCACATAGGCTACTGTTATCCTTTTGTGATGCGAGCGAAGCCGCGGGTAAAAGCTAGTTCAACATAAATTTGAGGTAAATCCATGCAAGACTTTTAGAGTTTATCCCGAACAGACCAACACAAAAATTCTAAAAGCTATGTACAGTTTCACTTTCTTACGATTTTATTTTATGCAAATAGATATAGATTCGAAATAAATTTAATTAAAATATAAAGGTATTGTTACACATGCTAATATTAAGTATGAAAGCATGCTTCAGTTGAGTACTTGTCACGTAGTAGCATTTGTGGCCGAATGTTGCTCAAAATTAGCATGCTCAATGCTTATTTCTGACATGCCTGCGACTCGACAGGCGTTCTATATTTAAACATTTTTGAGCACTCTGAATAAAACGCATTTCAGCATGCTATCTATTTTAGAGCATGTTTAAAATTACCTTAACTTTAATGATTTCATGAAGAAATTACATAGTTTCATAAAAAAATACTTTTGAACCAAAAACGATTCAAAATCTGACAGTTTCAATTACAAACATGACGTTTTTCATATCCCCGAGTATGCTGTGCACGTATTAACTTTTTGTTAGTTACACATATATACAAACAACTCCATACTCGACGCTATATGACAATTTCTAAAATCGACTACACATCATCTATCTGTAGATTTGTTTAATAGAAAAAGAATAAATATTCACATAAGCTCCTTACAAAATATTTCAATCAATTATCCAGCCATTTAAAAATGGGGTAATTATTATGTTTTTCGGCTTACTCATGTAATTCGACGAGGAACTCGATTAGTTTCGAACCATACCAGAGGCTCATATTCATAAGTATATATTCATACACGACACAACGCGGCGACTGTCACGCTACTAATCTACTGGTCATGAAAGTTATATTTTAAAAATGTGTTATTGTAACTGGCTATTAAATAAGAACAACGATTTCATTCCAATAATTTAATTTTCGATCTCAGAAATTCAAGCCATGAATAGATTGAAGGAAAGTTCTATAACTTACTTTTTCTCTTGAAACTGAAACTTTTAAGTGGACCGTTGACTGAACACGAGGAACATTAGCTGGAGCGTAAACTGTGCATATTGCACGAATGCTGTCAGCGCTGTAATCACTCTTAGTGCTTGAAAATAAACGTTTAGGATAGTTTTCCTTCACGTTGGTAGTAGTATATCACCATGTTTATTGTTTCGTAAAGAGACTGGCAGCCTATAGTAAAAAACGAGTCTAATGATAGAGGTAGATATCTGCTGTCGAAATAGCATCAGAGTATATCCTATGATATATCATTTGGGCAATGGAGCCTTAAACCTGTATGTATAATTTATATCCTACTTTCATTATAAATACGAAAGTTTGTATGATGGTTACTTCGTCACATCAAAATGACCGAAAGAATCGGGATGAAGGTTGGAACAGGGGTATATTATAGGTACACCTAGAATAACACATAGGTTATGTTTTATCAAATGAGACGCAGGTAAACCCGCTGGCAGAAGTTAGTAGTAGTCACGCTTATATAACGTCTAGACATCACAAGTCATTCAAAATACATCAAGCAATAGAAACTTTCGTGAAAACATTTCTCTAATTTTTCTATGTATTCTTTTTTTAGAAGGACTTCTGAAAAACTTGTACCTTCTTTTTCTTTTTTTATTAAATGAAACATTAACAAAAACTCGTTGAATTTTTTCGTCATATAAATTTGTTTGTGAAAAGAATACTTGGGTAGACAAAAAGCTAACTGGAAGAAAAATATATTGGTATAGACTATGTCGGTATACCAGGTATTAGGTAAAATGTAGGATGTTTATATTAAAATGAAGCCCACAAATAGCTTCTAACGCTAGACACAAAAAGACAGTTACTTACCTAAATGAAAAAAATACGGCAACGCCACTTGGTAGGATAAATTTCGTACAAACATATTTTTTTCTCTTTTAGGGTCAAAAAGTATACAGAAATTATTATGAAGCTCAGAAAAAATGGTCTTATAGGTTTAAGAACTTAATTTCGTGGTAGGCAGGCGTAAGTTAATGCACAATATACACTATATTCATAACGTTTTGCTATTCATACTCTAAATTGGTGGACGGTAATAAATCTCATTTTTGTTGATTTGAAGAGGTTTTTTCTTTTGAGGGTTGAAAATCATTCAATGACTTCACGCCCGGGTGAGGCGAGCTCGAGTGTCAGACTCTTACTGACTAAGAACCACCCCGTTTCTACTCTTGCACTTCGAGCCAGAGTCCCGGCAACTTGTTAAACCCTCCGCGGCTCCGTATCAGCATCAGCCCTATTGGGCCCCATCTGTGGTGGTCTGATGGCTCCTTGAGCCGTACGCGGAACGCAATGCGCCTTATACTCGGCTCTGGTCGGGCGGTGACCAAAACTTTTAGACTGTACACACACCAGTTCAGTCATAGAGACAACGCGAGAAAGCGAATTAATTACAGGTTAAATAAATTATTAATTTCTTTCTGAATTATTTTTATGGGATAAATAAACAGACGGATCACCAGATGGTAAGAAATCAGCGTCGCCCATGGTCATTGGACATCTGGAACACCAGAGGCATTACGAGTATGTTACCGCATTTTGGGGATAGGACTTTAAGGATTGTTGGGTATTCAGGGATTGGGGACATTGGGGATGTATTCTACTAATAATACTAATTATTATAAATGCGAAAGTTTGTATGTTTCTTTGTTACCCTTTCACGTCAAAACGGCTGAAGGGAGTGAGATGAAATTTGGAACAGAGGTAGATTATAGTATGTAATAACATATAGGTGTACTAATTACAATACAAACATATGTACGTGTGTAATAATTACAATACAAACATATAGGTGGGAGAAACCGCTGACAAAAGCTAGTATATAAATAAAGATAGAAAAGAAAGTCACGTTTTAGACTAGGTCACAATAATAATAACAATACAAGGTTAAGTGGGACATTTCAGTACTTAAGAAGTTTATCTTTTATGTCAGAGACAAATAATTGACCGGAATATTTTGCGATGCGATATCTTATAATAACAAGTCGTAACTTATTGCTAATAACAAGATAGTGTTACTATGTTTGTAAATACGGAAAGATCAGAGCTATTTATCAAATACATTAAGTGCGTATGTGAGTACCTAAGATTTTTTTGTAATAACCTAAATTTAAACAGTCTCTTTTGGTAGAGAAGTTTGTCGTCTAACATTATACTGTAGAGGATTTTGATTTCGAGAGTTTCCATAAATACGAGTATTTTTTTAAATTAGTTTTGTTGTACATCACGTTAGGTTATAAGGCATACCCTGTACCTTTTTATTAAAGTAATTAATAAATAATAAACTGAGACCCTCATTCGTTTTTTAAAGACTATTCAAAAAACGTACCATTCACCTGCTGATTCTGTTATTCGACGAAAAAGTAGGCAGATGTCTTTTAAACAATAAGAAATAATATTTTCTCTCCAACTATGTTATGACTATGAATCCTACTATTCGAGTCCCTTGTTAGACATCGGACACTATTTCAGACTGTTTTAATTATGAACCTGTCTCAGAATTTTAAAAACTATGAAACTTATTTATGTTATTTAAAGTATCATTGGCCTAACTGACTCCACGGTTGGTGCGATAGCTGGGGAACCGGCTGCCGCCCAACGTTCCGCGGTTTCGATTCCCGAACGGAACAACTTTTTTGTGATCCACAAATTGTTGTTTCGGGTCTGGTTGTCATGTGTATGTGAACGTGTATGTTTGTAAACGCAAACGACACAGGATAAATTCTTAATGTGAGATAAAGTTTTATAAATAAAAAAAAAATTAAGGGTCATTTGACCAGCTGACCGAATATGTCTCTTATAACAGCTGCAAAACATTACACTGAAATTAAAATACAAAATTAAATATTAAACAGGAATCGACATCCAGATAAATATGTAATTAGGCATTACAGTTAAACAAATTTATACTTTAATACTATTGGAGTTTAAAACATTATGCCTTTTCACGGATTTATCACCCTTTGTTTGTACGCAGCTGGTTAATGCTCCATTGACAGATATTAAGTACACAAGTATTTGATTAAATAAAGGCTGGGATAGAATCACAACTTTTTGTTTGAATAAAATAAAATACTCTGTGCTTGTGATTGTTTTTTTTTATCACAAACGAAGTAGGTAGAGTGGTAGCTGTATGTGAGAATGTATCGTCAAAAGTAAAAAAAAAATGTTAAATAAGTCTACAAAGTAACGCTAAAATTTGTAAAAAAGGAAAAAAATCCAGTGCGTTTTATTTTGTACACTAGTAATACAGGGAAATCGATAAACTAAATATCCAACAAATGCTGTAGGACAGCTTTATTTAGTCTTAACTATAAAAAACACTATTAAAACATAATTTAAGTGGCAAAATGTACTGAAACATTTATCTCCCTATAGATTTTCCTGTCTACAAACTAGGTACAATACATGTTATCTTGGATCCAATTCTCAGGTTGAATAAACAGCTATAATTTTAGGGACAAACTACCTATATCTGAATGGTTAATGGAGAACATAATAGGGTCGTCCTGTACTCAGAATCACATTGATTTGTTATTTCTTAGATATTGTTGGATCGAATATTCACGATTAATTTGTTTATAACTTGATTGTTTATCTGTTTTGTAATTTAATTTATTATGTTTTACTGATAAACTAATTACGTATTTTGAACTTAAATAAGTCATCGGATAATGCTCGTTAATTTGTGTATTAAATCAAACCATCATCTTCCGAAGGAAGACGTCCAATCGTATTGTTATCCTCATATTTGGCTGTCCATCATAAACAAATCAAAGGACAAAACTTTATTATTACACCAAAACGTACATATACGCATACTAAATTCCAATTTTCCTCTTTCCAGGTGCACTCTGCCTTCGAAATGTGCACGTGGTGGTTCCGGAAGCCGTGGAACGAGGTTCCAAAGTTGAGATGAAGTGCCTGTATGACCTCGAACAAGAGGTCTTATACTCCGTCAAATGGTACCGGGGAGACCGAGAATTCTGTCGGTATTCCCCGAGGGACGTTCCACCGCTGAAGATATTCCGGATACCCGGGATAGAAGTTGATGTAAGTCTTGAGTTAAAACACAAGGGTCCAACATTTAATGTCCGTGCAAAGTTCAGTTTTCGTAAACTAAGTTAGTTGTTTGACAAACGAATGAATTAGTACTGCACAATAGTGTTGAATTTACAATTAGGGTGGATCTTATCTTTGTTAGTTAGGAATTCTGCTATCCTGGGATGCGGACTTAGTTAGACAACAGGTTTTTATGTCACAGATATCTATTATTAAGTAACATTAAAATTTTATGTCATCACGACTATTAGCCCCGAGGAGGCAGAGGTGCACATTATGCCACTTAATGCCACTGTACAATGTAATACCCACTTTTCACTATTTATGTTATGAGTCCCATATAACTCTATTACATGCCTATTGCTCATTTATAGGTATATGATTTTGTTTTTAAATCTAAATATTCAGTAGTAGTACAGCCAGTGAAGTCCATAGGAGGCATAAACCAATAAATAACCTACGAAAAATAATACCCAAACGAATTCTTTTGAAAAATAACAAAATGCCTATAGCGTTAAGTCTGGCTATGTACTAGACGAGGCCATAGAGCTTTGGTAAGTAAAAAAAACACACACACACAAAATATAAATACTATTGTAAAAACCTAGGTCGTTAGTTATAACATTCTAGTGACACAAGGCTCATACACGTCGTAATAGGTATGACTTGACGAAATCGTAAAAATCTTACGTAGACATTTTATTTTTTGACATAGAGAAACCTATTTCAAACAATTAGGTATTATTTGGAAAATCTAGAAAAAGGACGACGTATACTTTTTTTCGTAACTGTAATTTATTGGTAACCTTCCAATCCCATGTCAGACTAACTGATAGATTGTACTTTTCTGTCTCTTTTTTTTGTTATTTTTAGTTAAAAATGTATTCATAATTGAAATAACTAGGTTTATTTTTTATGCTACCAACACTTTGGATATTAGCAAGACATCTTTTGGATTCTTGTCCTTTAAACCACTGTTCGTCTGATTACGTAGAAATTACGACTGAATATACATTTACGACCACACGATTTTACCTTTCAGAACCTGTGTTTTTTGACGGAGGGAAACCTTCAAAAGACGCCTAGCTTTTTGGGGAAACAAACAAAACTTACTTACGTTCATCTTAAACTATGCTTAAACGCCTACCAAAAAGACATCCTTGCACTTCTTTTCTTTGTCCCGAGTTTAAAGTTGGCCAGTAATTAAAGTTCCACGCTTAGATACTGATCCAACTTGTTTTGATAAGCTGCGTTTCCGCACTGAACTTTAATCGAGTTTGTAATATCTTTACAAAGTCCTAACTTTGTTTGAGAATCCCTTTAATTTGTAACGCATAGAAATTTCTCTGTAATTTCACTGGCCGAGTGTTAATTTTCAATTTACCGTGTTATCGTTGGTTCTCGGGTTTCAATTGGGAACTTTACTTTGACTAAAGGTATATAGTAGTGACGTGAAGCTAATCAAAGTTTGGGAACGTGATTGGATACCTGATTTCGAAGTTCAAGGTCTTAGAAATTGAGTTTGGTCTGAAATCGTTGAATAAAGAAATTCAAAAGTTACGTTAATGTGAAGTTTTCTTATACCCTACCCAATAAAGTGGTAATTATAAAAGCAGGAACACACCTCAACGTCTATAACGTTATTAAATTAACCACTATTATCTAAGTCATCAAGGTCATACAACTTTACACTTCGTAGCTCAATAATAAACATGAACAATTGTATATCTATCATGACAATAGTTATAGTAGCTGAGCAAATATGGTGAATATATCGTTGACATAAACAATATTGAAAACAAAATGGTCCCGAACAAGAATATGAGCTGCTGACATTTCACAAATAGCTTTTACATTGATGGTGCCCGCCTGTGTTTCAACACAAATAAATATTCATACTTCACAATACGAAATTTATTCTCTCGCCATAACGTAATATTTAAAATACGACACATTTATTCGAAACAATTCTTTTCCTGGAAATTTCAACAGACAACGACAAACAATTCGAATGGAATAATTTCAAAATGGCGCCTGCAAAACATTGGCTTAGAGCTGTAAAATAGCCGTACATTACTGGACAAACCCATTCATGTCTAGACAACTCTTGACAAATACAATGCTCATTTACTCTCACGTTATGTTATATGTATTTGTACTACACTAATTGGATCGATACCCTCCCATAAATATGAAATTAATTATAGTAAATAAATTTCAGATATCGACGGAGATTGATCTAAATTTTGTTACCGAAGAATTTAAAAGTAACTTTATTTTACAGTACAGACCAGATAATCACGCTGTCGATACCAGACCCCAGGCGACGAGTGACTCATTTTATTCCACAATTTATTTGTACAACAACGTAAGATTAAAATTGTAAACCTTTTGTCACGTCGTATTCAGAAACGAATCGCACACCTAGTGAGCAGTTTTCATAGACACATACTGCCGTGTTTGGGAACAGTCTAAAATGAAGCAAGTTCTATTCACAACACGAGTCTGCGCCACCATCTGACTGACACACACAATCCAGTTTCCGTGATGATAAAATCTCCCCAGCCATTTCTCTTGTGCCAACACGACAAATTATAAGTATGAAATTAAGTTTTGTAACTTTTCTCTCGGCTATTCAAGTCCTCGTCTTGAGTTTACAAACACGCCGTAATGCAATTATAATTTTAAGTGAAACCTCACATTACATTTTCGCATTAATGTAATTCATTACTTCCCTGTCTGCGCAGAAGACGCGCAATTTTTTCACTCATACATACCCCGGGCTCCGTAATATGGAAGGCCGTATATAATATTGCAAAGAGATCCAACGAGAATTAAATTATAATAAAGATTTCGTTTCGGTCAAATTAAAAATTTCCCTCTAAATTAAAACTTCAAAGGGCACTTCGTTTGAGCTTTTAATTTCTTTACTCTGGCTCTTGACCTTGCAATATGTTCGAGTAAAAAGTTTTATATTTGTTAGGAAAATACTTCGAAAATAATAATGAGTCAAGAAAAAAAACCATTTGATATTTCGTGCGTAAATATATTATAAATAATTGTGAGGCTAAATAAGCTCGCAAATTGCAAAAATCACATCACATTGTGATAGAAAAATATTTCCAGGAAAAATAATTTGTGTCGGCGGTTGCGTTTGGATAACGTGACTTAGCACAAATTCAACATTACGTGGGGCGGTAGTCAGCATTTAAATACATCATGTCTGCATAATTGCGTGTACGTAACGTTCACAGTGTGATATCTGAGCAAACATTTATGTATTTTATCGTCGCTTTTCACGTCAAGAAATTTCTCGCGTTACCATAATTACTGGCTGAATCGTTTTTATAGAGGCCTATCGGGAGAAGGCCCTAACTGTGTAAGCCATTATCATCTTTATCTGTTGCCGACACTATCCGTGGTGTCGTTTTATATAGCCAATTGTTATGCCAACTGTATTCGAGTATCAACTCATTTTATGTCCACATGGGCCACTTAAATTTTATCGCAGGGACGTAACATGGCTTCATTACTGAAAACTGTCTGGCATTCTCATTAATGCCTATAATACATACGTTCTGTACGAGTATAAATAAAGTTTTTATCGTGGAAGTCTATCGTTCGCAAAGGGATCGCTTCGACTGACGATTAAATGAGGGGATAACGAGAGGTTCTTTACATTGAAGATAATAGGTCTTCTTTCTCCTGACTTCGCTACTAATCTAAAATCAGCATAGAAACTTTACCATACTCGGTGAATGGTAATTTGACACGTATTGCATTGTGTGCCTATATCCCATATCACTTTTTTTCTTTGACGTAAGTTACTTAATAGGCGACTGGTCTATAAATTCAAACCATTTACTTAAATTAATCATTAATTTTTGAAACGTCAAATTGACACTAATATTTATTTTACTACGTTTGAAAAACTGACTTTAAGCCCCTATTTTTGCCAAAGAGAAAAAAAAGCCCCTATTTTTTGATCAGTATCATTCATTGTTCATTTCTTATACTAAATTAATTCATCATTCAGATATCATCATTTAATTAATATACTAAAACCTTCTCCTAAATGAGACCACTTTTCTGAAAATCGCATTGAAATGGGTTTAACCCATTGCTTGATAATTGTGCACAAACATACATACCTCTAGATAAAAAATGCAATACTGTACTTTTAATTTAGTATGTACACAAATAGATAATTATGTAAATTTGACTTTGGCTTGGCAAAGCATGGCTTGAAACTAGTAGAGCTCCTCGTCAAATAATTACGTGAGTAATCCGAAAACATAATAATTTATTTAGTATGTCTCACGAATGTTATAATTGAATGTAGTTGTTCGAGAATGATTGGGTATCAGTCAAACATAAAATAAATAAAATAAGTTTATAGAATAACCTTTATTCATAAAAATATAGACGGTATTGTTGAACTGGCCAGGTCACCTTGTTTCTGAAACGTTAGATATAGTTAGTTTTATAGCACTTTACGAAATAAGCAACATAAATGTTTTTCAAATGTCAAACTATTCATATTTCAACACAGAATCTTATTATTTTATTGAAATAATGACATTTTACGAAACATTTTTGATACCACTTAGGTAGGTATCTATATTTTATTGTATTACTTTTGTTTCATCGTAATCCAAAATGGTCAACTGAAAAAAAAAATTGCGAGAGAAGTGATGTCTGCAATTTTTACATCTTAATTATTCTGCGATTGTTAAAATGCGCCGCGACAAATTTACCAACAAAAATTATGGCACACAGGTATACAATATCAATACGAATTCATGAACATTTCTCAGGAAACAATGGCAAGGACGCAAAGTAAGCAATAATTACCTTCCCACTTCACTGTCAGAACCCATACAACTATCATTACACCTTATTAATCCCTTCTAAATCCCTACAGGCAGACACGCACACAATACACTCGCAGAACTGGATCAGGTGAGCTCGCAGCACCTGATTGAAAGCCCAAGCCTTACTAATACTGCAAACGTCCAAATTACTTAGGCGAATAAAGGAAGAAACACGATTGTAGGCATGAGATGACTGTGGGAAACATTCATATGGTTTCATATTCATTTCTATGGCGTTAGGGATAAGGTTCATTTGATACGATCATCTATTCATTGGAAATCAGAATTGGAGGCTGTAGAAGATTAAACAGTTACTTGGACATTAATAATACTGTTCGATTTTAGTATCTTGTATTTGTTTTATTAACCCTAAAATATAGGATCTTATTTGACATATAAAGTCAATAATACAGATGTCAGAAAATTTTAAAGTAATACAAGTACAAAACTTGCATAAGTAAACACATTATTATATGTCATGTTCATTTCACACAAATTGAGAACTGACTATAACATACAAAAGCTAACAAAAGGTATGAAGTGTACAGACAATTATTGTCGGGCGCCTGTACCTTGCAGTCTTATGTAATAATTGCTCGGTGTGCCATTTCATTCTAGAGTACTCGTCTATAGAAGTGCATACTTTAGTCAAGATGAACTTAACAGTAGTTCCTACAACCGCCCAACGTACATACATATCACTCGATGGTAACATAAATCTATACATACATACAGATAAATAAAATTGGAATGTTTACTTGTAATATTGAAATGACCACATATTACTACATGCATAATAATATGAATATACATACATCCTCAAGTATGTATATAAAATCCATCTAACAATCCATATAAAATAGTGCTTCTACACAAGAAAAAAAAATAAAATCTTGTTTAAATAAAGAAAAAAATGCTCGATGTCACAAGAAAAATAGATTGCCTTCATCGGAATCTAAGTATTAAATTACCTATTATCGGAATCTGAACTATGTAGGTACTGACTACATTTGAGTATTGTCCAATGGAGCCGAACCAACACGCTGCCAAGCATTCTTATCCTTAAGATAATCGATCACTCTGTAGTAAGCTTGTTTACACAATTCGCGCTTAATATATGTTTTAAATTTGCTTTCATTAAGATCTAGTATGCTACTTGGTATATTTTTATGATAACATTTAACGCATAACTCTATGAAGGATTTCTGTACCTTAGACAGTCTGAATTGTAGTACAGCTAACTTATTCTTGCCTCTAGTATTATGATTGTGTCTATCGCTTCTTTTTTCGAACAATTGGCTATTTTTTCTTACATACATTATGTTTTCATATATGTATTGACAGGGCACCGTTAAGATATTTATCGTTTTAAACAATTCTCTTAGCAATTCGCAACGGCGCGGCGTAAGGTATATATTGTTCAGATAGCCCCCATTTGAAGAATAAAAATTGATTATATTTCTGCAGTTTGACCCCACAACAAAATGCCGTACGACATAATGCTGTGAAAGTAACTAAAATAGACAAGCCTTGCCGTATCCACGTCTGTGAGCTGTCTAATCTGTCTAACTGCAAAAGCAGCTGAGCTTAATCTCCCCGAAAGCGCCTTTATATGCGGGCCCCATTGTAGCCTATTGTCTAATGTAATGCCTAAAAATACCGTCTCGTCAACAAATTCTAACTTTTGGCCGTTCAAAACAACATCACAATCATTACTTCGCTTGATAATTAATGGTGAACCAATTTTGCACAATTGTATGTTTAATTAGTATTATATTGCGAATATTATCATATTATTTAAAGCTTTTGTAATACTTCAAATAGTATGTTACAAGATAGCTTTACTATCTGTAATATGGCCCAAGTGTCCCAGAGTGGAGTTCCCAGTTATAGAACGAGTATATCTCCAACCTTACATTAATACTACGAGACAAGTTATCTTGAACAAAGTTGCTTTATACTCTAGATTGTTCTAAGAAAGCAAAGCGAACATTCTCGGTCATAACTTGTTTAGACAAAACCTAGTTCTAATAATCTGTTAATTAGATTTATTTTCAGATTACTTGTAGTTGATATGATTGTTTCTGAGTTGCGAATTTGAATTTTGTCTCACAGAAAGGTATTAATTCTCAAGGTAGACACATAACCATATCTTCTCATAAACACAATCCTTGGCATAGAAAACTAAACTAAGGAATACTAGACCAAAAACTTAAAAATTGTAGTTACGGAGATTAGCACGTTCAAACAAACAAACAAAAAAACAAACTTCCGCTATGAATAATAGTATAAGATAAGATATTATGTATAATGGCATTTATAAACAGAATATTAGACTTCACGAGCGAAAGCTAACCAACTTATGTAATCTGATAGGCTATAGCTCCGACATACACAATGTAGTACTCTATTAATCTACCACTATCTAGTTTAATAATACGAAGACCTAATTGAAATCAATCTGTCTTCGAATATGATGGATAATTTGCCAATCCGCTTATTAAGTCGTCATTCACAGGGGACTAATAAGCTGGGTCTATTGTCGAGTATGTATAACCTCATTCAATTACTAAATGGATGTCAGTTCAGTGTTCATGATGCGACTGGGAAAGATCATTGTCTTGCATGACTAGGCTGATTACTGTACTAGGGCTGATACTGGGTTTTGCTTCTTTGTTTGTAGCGTAAAAAACCATAAAAACCATAAAGTCAAGAAATTTTTTGAAAGATAATTATGTATGTATGTATATGTATGTTTATTTTAACGCGTTTCTTTATTTTTCGCGTCAACAGGAGATAAATTATTTATATAAAATTCTGGAAAGCTATAAGATTTGTTATAATAACATTTGTTATAACTTTCATGTTTCATTTGTTTCATGTTATAGCTACTCATAATGTCGTGCTTACGACTTCGTTGGTAAAAACTATTTTTTAATCCAAAAGTATGCATTTTGAAACCACATCACTTAGAGTATGTGAGCGTGTGTGTATTAAGAGAGGAAACGTCAGAATTCCAACAACACGAATTCTTGCGGGTGAAGTCACTCGCAAAGCGTTCGCGGTTTTGGGAGGTATGAAGCAACTACGATAATATTATATAACATCAGTGGAATTGTATTTAGTTTGGTTATTGCTGTTACTGGTTGCAAACCAAAAACCATGGCAATTCTTTGTGGAATCGAAAAAAAATCATAGTACACTGAAGCAGTGAAGTGAATACATTTCAATGTAGGTTACTACAGCGTTATCCGTAATTGCCTATTTATAAATGCTAATGATAGCGAGCTACGCACTACCTTCCGCATCCAACGAAACAAAAGTGAACCCATTGAATTCATTGACATTTTGCCGGTGACAGCTCGGCTCCACAAAGTCTCCATTGAAACATGAGATCCATCGCTTTGTTTGCTTATTTCAGTATCACAACGCATTGTCTACATTCAGTTCAAATTTCTATTGACAAAAGCATATTTGTCGACGATAAGGCGATAGGTACAATTGAATAATGCTTTTAGGTATAGATGAGAAAAATTGCTGTCTGATAATGGAGCGGAATTCTGAAAGGTTTTGATTTATATTGTCGTGCCAGCTTCCACGTGAATCGATTAGGGTGAGGGTACTTGTTAGCTGTGTCGAGATGAGATATTGAAAATCAAGTAAAGGAATTTGTGTGATCTGAATGGAAATTATATGAGATGAAAATACTCTGTGTATTTTAGAAAACTCACATTTAATCGGAGATGGGAGTTTTTAAAACAATGGGCTTCTAAATGCTACCTCGTTGGCCGAGTGGTCGCAAGTGCGACTGCTGGACAAGGGGTCTCGGGTTCGATTCCCAGGTCGGGCAGATTATTACTGGGTTTAAAAAAAATCTCAGTTGTAGCACGGAGTCTGGAATTGTGCCCGATATATGGCAATGAGCTCACTCTATTACATGGGATTCATAACATAAATAGTGAAAAGTGGGTGTTACTTTGTACAGTGGCATAATGTGCACCTATGCCTAGGATAAAAGGCGTGATGTTATATTATGTTGGCTTCTAAATGCTTAGGTTGTAAAGGATTGGCATAATCATAAATGCAGCACGGTCGTTTGAACGCTACACGCTCACTGGCGCGAAAGGGACCGTCTGCAGTGACCGACAATTTGCTTCATTTGAGTAGGTACTAGCTTGCTGGCTAAACCGTTCCGAGCACTTTACAAATTCGGATGAATGGTGACTAAAACCATTTATCATTAGCACGCTATGAAAAACGTACACAGCTGTTCAGGATTGTTGACGGAGAATATCCTAACTGGAACCTAACTGAATCCTTTAAATTTTTTTTGTAGTTTGTATTTTTTACACAACTTATTTAACTTTTCATGGATATTATACGACAATATCGATTTTTTTATTCATGACCCAAGGTCAGTTAGTACGTACAGACGTACTACACTGATCTTAAATATCACAGGATATTTATACCGCCATTTCGTAAAATGACATTTATCAACGTAGAGTATTTTTTTACTCAAGTTATCGTTTTTTATAGTCAAAAATTATAAATCCATTTTTCGAATCTCGACGTTTTCGTACGTCATTTCACTTATAAACGGCTGACTTCAGACTATTATGGAAGAGGTCAAGAGAAAAAAAAACTCATGAACGTTTAATAAGGCAGATATTTAAATGTTAAGCCATTCAATCTAAACTTACGTAGGTAATGAAAGAACTTACAAAGCAATCATTAAGAGTCAATTTGAAATCAAAATCGGTTTCAAGTATCCACTTTGAGCATTTATTGCAGAGAATTAAGAATTTATAAATCAAGAGATTTTATTGAGGGTAACATGAAATTTGCTTTTTGTTCTTGAACACTTCAGAAATGTTTAAAAAGTACCAATTTTAACTGAACTTAAAATGAAACAGGTTTATTTATAGGTTCCTTTTGTACAATTTAATGAATTTCTCGTAACGTACGTTTCTAGGAATTTGAGTATTTGAAGTTGAAACAAAAAATCTGAGGCTCAATAGGGCTGATGCCAATACGGAGCCACGGAGGACTTATCGGGTTGCTGGGGTCGGGCTCGAAGTGCAAGAGTAGG